TGCTTCTTCAGCGCGGTGAGGGTCTCGGGAGTCTTACAGGCCCCGCCAGGCGCCGGCCTTTCCGGGTAGGGGCCCGCTGAGCGGGGTGACTGGTTCCCGTGGGGCGGGGGAGATGAGGTGACCTGGGAAGGGGATGTGGAGCATGTGGTGACCCCCCGGCCGTGGCAGGGGGGCTGCGTTGGGCGGGCGTCTCGGGCTGTTGAGTTGGGTTGGCCCGGCCCGTGCATTGTATGCGTGGGCCGGCTGAGGGAAAGGGGCCGTTGGGCGGCTGAGGGAAAGGGGCCGTTGGGCGGCTGAAGGGCCTGTTGGGCCAAAGTGGGTTCGTTCGAAGTAGCACCGCTTTGTGGGAGACCTGGGGCCATTCTGATGTAGCCTGCAGGGCATGGGGTTATTGCCCTTACATTGGGGTGAGCCCAGCATCCCAACTAGACTCCAGCTCCTAATGCCCCTGTCTCTAAAACCACTGTCAAAATAACAGCTCAATCTTAAGTCTGTATTTGTTTGCAAAGAGCTTTAAAATTTTTATTAAAGCTAATGTTAAAAAAATGATATAATACATAGGTTGAGAAAAGAGTGTCTGTCCCTCTGGGTCTCGTGCTTAGATTATTCACAAATACAAAGTTTGTTTTTAAAGTCATAATTTACATATAGTGCATAATCAGCAATAACCCAAATTTAGGTGAGTGAATTTAAGATTACAGTTTAGATATTTAGCATCCGTGCATTTGAGTATGTTACTCATGAAAAAAGTTATAGAGAGAGTTGGTGGCGGAAAGCAAAATATATTGAGTGAAGATTGTCCCTCAGTAATCCTATTCAGGTCCTTATGGTGCCTAGCCCCATAATATTTCAACATCTGGTTTATCAGCTATGTAATGAAGGAATAGTTTCACCCAGTGCTAATGAAATTCATTCTCCTCCTGGGGACAATCAGGCATGAAATTGCCATCGGGCAAAGTCCTCCACTTGAATAATAAGTTATATAGTCTTTAACATCCACACACAGCAAGCAAGACTATGTATGCATTTATTCTTTCAGATAATTTGTCCCTCTCTTTAGAAGGATGAAGCTCTGACTAACCCCAGATTGGTACTTAGTGAGATTCCACAATGATTAATATCTGGGTAACATTCTTCCATTTCTCAATGTTTTGAAATTTCACATTTAGATTTTAGTACAGCTGGTTGTAATGGAATCGGAGTTATGCTACAGAAAAACTGGAATATGTCTCAGCTGTACCTTGCCAAAAGGGATTACATTAATTTTTTGACCCGCATTTACTTCCATCCCACACAAAATAGGTGTTCTCTTTATTATTGTAAACTGACATCAGAAATAACAAATCTTGAAAATTGAGATTATATTTAAAAAATATATAGGCTAAAGAAATTAATCCGTCAATATATGGGACTCCCTGATTTGCTATTGATATCTGCCAATTTGGGGTTTTGCAGGCTAGTGCACATTTGGGCATGTAAATTAGAAGCTTGCATTTCAGGATAATGAAGTTTGTAACAAACATTTTCTCCATGCTAGTAGCCAGAGGCATTACTTTATTGTTCAGCAGATAAAATCAGAAAGGTCTGGTTTCTTTACCACAGTTGCTGCTGAGAGTGCCAACAAGAGTGCCAGCTGTGATGGAACTTGCTCACTAGAACTAGACATATTACCAACTCATTTCACACAGGCCCCTCAATATCAATTTAGGGCATAATGAAATTTAGTCACTACGAGAAGGATATCTTGATAGTCTAAACCAGTGGTTTTCAGTTGTTTTTTTTCACGGACCACTTGAAAATTGCTGAGGGTCTCGGCGGACCACTTAATGATCTTTCCAAA